CAACGAACAGCTATCTGTAATGTTTTCATCATCTCCTAGGAAGCAATCAGGAATACCATCGAGAATTCGACTTAAGGAAAGACATTTTGACGAATTTGCACATCGAAATGGTTTTGATTTCGGACACTGATCATATGTATTCACTATAGTTGAACATTTGAGAAAAAAATTCAATATAATATATTCCAAAGATTCCGGTAATTTCAATTCTTTATCTAAGTTCAATTCAGATAAAGTTCGACAAGTTAAATTATTTTTCAAAATAGTAGCCGGAAGCCATTCACATAATTGTTGATCGTAACATACATAATGAGGCAAAAGGAGATTATATCGATATTTATTTGTGAAATTCTTTTCATAGGCAAAGCGTACATGATTCAATATAATTGATTGAGCAGGAAAGAAGAAAAATGTTGGACAATTTTGTCGAAAAAGACTTTCACTAATATTCTTTTCTCTACATTTCATTTCATCGACAAGATCAAAACGATTATCAAAATAAACGCTCAAACAAATCATACTTATCCAACAATCAAAAGATAAATGAGAATTCGCATTCCTAGATAATTTTGCTTGTAATAATAGAAGATGACGATTGTTAGTACATGCTTTTACACTACAATCACCATTAGCACATGGAATCCATCGTTCATTTCGACATGTTCTCTCTTCACACCTGAATGATGGATCCAGTTCGCAACGTTGGTAATCATTATTTGCGTCAGCGCCTGAACTTATTTCATCTGAACTGTCCATACAATCTGGATCGAACGTCTCATCGCTAAAAAATTCTTTTGGAATGCAAAATCCATTACTACAGCGAAATTCATCCTCCTTGCATTCGTTTGTAATTAATTCTTCACAACCAAATTCATCGTTACCTCCATCCAAACAATCGATCTTACCATCGCATATTTCTCTCCAGTCGAGACAAGGTGGTGCTAAACCTCGATCACATTTTAAGAATGTATAACATGGTCCACGTTGAAATAGATAATTATGTGAATAAGCTGAACTAAAAGATGATACAAGTTCTTTAAATGTTAATGTCGAATTAAATGTATATTGACAAAATTCACCAAACCATGGTATAGAACAATTATAAAATATTTGCATCGATGAAGACAAATGTGGATTTTCGAGAAAAGCTTGATATCTTTCGACAACATCAATAGGTGCAAATGATAAATATAATTTTTCACTTGTTATATTATTTTGTTGCAATGTTTCAAACGTAATTGATGTTCCATGAATAATATGTGTTTCGTTATTGATCAGTGAATTGTTTGAAAAATTCAATGAACGTATACAATAAGGAATTATTTGATAAGGAATATCCATCTTATTTCCAAAAAAGATATTTTGTGGTATATCATAACCGACATTATATAACAAACAGTCTTGATACAAGGCATCATGACTTAGCCGATCTGTATGATAGAGATGAAATTGAAGTTCAGCCACTGAGACTTGCAACATGATTACGAGCAGATATAAAAACCAATCAAACGTTCTAGGTTGCATAATGTTAGATATATATGGATCAATCTTGAATCAAGTTTAAATCAGTTTTTTTTTGTCTGAAGCTCCTTGAATAATTGAGTATAGTATATATACACATCTATAAATCTCCATTCTAATATTATATTCAGGCGTCTAACATCGATCATTAATCATATATGTGCATTTCTGACGTTTTCTTTGCTAAACAAGCTTTTCTGATTTTTATGCTGAATGCTATTCTTATAATAAATATGTCCAAAATGGCATTTAATACGTGCTTTGACAGAAAGAAGAATCGAATGAATTAAATTATAATAACATTGATGTAATGCAAAGATCTATCATAATTTTAGCGATGACGCACATAAACACAATCGATCATTAAAAACAACAAGATAATCACACAGCCTTATTTCTCTCATTTGAGTTGAAGCAACATTAGGATTAACATATGGCATTTGATCGAGTCGCTTTATTTCTAGTTGAAAATTCACATCAGATCTCTCACATTCCGTGATGGAATTGCACTGCAGTATATCAAGATATCTATTACAGTCTGTATGAAGACTCATTTGTTCACATTGAACCAATGAAGAATAACTTTTTCTTATATTTCAAAAATTCAAATTTATTGAAATCTGAAAGTTGAAAAATCTACATGCAATGCCAAAGTTTGTATTTTTTTCCTTACTCTATCGACAAATGGTTTACGATCTGTCGAGTGGCATGAAAGTTTCATCTTTTCGACTCTCTATACATGAGCATTCAGTGTCTTGGTATTAATTTTTCTAAGAAAGTAAAAAAAAACAAAACATATCATCATTATTACAAATTACGTAGTTTGATATACAGAAACCATTAACGCTCGCATTATTCTCTGAAGCACTTGCATATGATAGAGTGTGAATGTAACAAAGGTCTATACACATACATAATCTCAAGTCATATCAGCTTATATTGTCTTAAATTTTTTCTTATTTTAAGATTCTCTATATATACATGCAAAATATCATCGAAAACGGCATGGATCAGTTGAAAACTTTTCTTTATGAATGCAAACAATATTTTTCTTACTAAATGCTTTTAATTCTCTTCAATGACATTTAAGTGTCTAAAGAAAAGAAAAAGAACTAGTCGACATATTTACTAATATCTTCTAATTAAGTATTTTATTCAAACTTCAATTTTAGTTTCTATCAAAGAATTGTTCTTGATGGAATTTCTGAGTATATTTTCAAATCTATACAATAACAAAAAGAAAAATGAAAATGAAATTTTATTTATTTTATTCTAATTTTAAAAGACTTTGGTCTCGAATATTATCATACATTCGTTTATTAACAGTATTTCCCAATGAATCTTCAATTTTTGTTTTGCAAAAAAACCTGTTAGCGTAATCCCTTCAGGATTAAAATATGGAACATGATGTAGTTGTTGTTACTAATTACGAGAATATTGTTTTATTCGATCTATGTTTGGACTTTGTTTTTTTCATCATCTTTCACTTAATCTTCTAGAACTGCGATAAGGAGATAGTTTATATATTCTTATGAGATATTAATAATATATGATCAGTAATCATGTATTGAAAATGCCTGTCACGGTCTGCGAAGGGAAAGGAGAGGAGATGAAGAAGTCCAAATTTCTACTCCTACCCATTTTAACACTCCTTTTAGATCATGCTTCACAAAAACATGACATCAATATTAAAATAGTTGAAATAAATCAACTCATACATCTATGTCTAGTTTCAATCATGCATCATTTTTATTATGATCTCATTTAGTCCATGATAATAAAATTTCTTCAATTAATATTATAGTTGAAAAATGTTCTGCTATTTCATATATTTGTCATTTTTGAGCATAAAAGCAAAATTCAAAAACTGTTCTAATTTAATTTCAATATTTCTTTATTTAAAATTCTTTAAATACAAAACAATCTTAAGTCTCGAATTTTCATTTTTTAAATTTTTAAATATTTACAGATAACAATTTTAATGCAACTTATTTTTCAGTTTTACTTTTAACTAACTGCAATTTGTAGAATTCTCTAGGTATAGTTGTTACTATGAATGTCATGAGCTTTTTTTTGAACTTGAGTACATCATCTGATTACATTATAACAGGAAATTAGACATCAAATGGACACAAACTAATCAAGTTGCAAAAGCATTTATGTACAAAAATCAACAACGCAGAAAACGATGTTTAAAAAATAGATGACCTTAAAATATGCGTGTTGGTAAACGTCTTCTCTTCACCCACACACATACACACACCTATCCACTCATCTTACATCCGCAATAAACATTGAATTACTACTATAAATTATGATAAAATCTCTTTAAAACGTCAACTTAATCTTAATTAAAACTCTTTCTAGTTAAGACATAATCGATGAGTCTTGCTCGTACATTTTAAGTATTACTTTATCAATAAGAAAAAAATTCAGCGCGTTAATATCTATTCAAAATATTTAGTTCTCTGTCCCAAAACTCAGTTTAGGTCAAACTAATAATAATTCCTTATTTCAAGATCATTTTTTATATGCATGTAATTTTATCTGACATTACAATTGAGGATGTGGTTGTGAATGCGAGTACTGGTATGGGCTTGGTTTAAGAAGATACTCACATTCATATCCACACTCTTCTCGAAGATGTCATACGCTATGCGTCGGTGTTGGCATTGTCAGTTTTCTATAGTTTTGATGCCTTTTTATGAATTCGGAATTGATACTATTTTCGCGTGTTTCCGTATTACTCGTTTTAGATGGAATATTTTTTTTGATTACTAAGGAAAATATGTAGGTATTCCATGGATGGTGATAGATATTTTATTCTCATTTGCCTATTGGGCCATCGTATCTAATATATGATTGGCCGTCGAGCAAAATAATGACGGAGAGAAAATAAAAGAGATCCTATATACTCTTGAATTTAATAGCATTGCATATCATTCACGTTTTTCTTTTATAACCTTTGCATATTTGACTCTGTTCAATATTACATGAAGAGAATGATAAAAATATAAAACGCATAGAATGGATATAGGTGAATAAATTATCTCGAAAAGAAGATAAATGACTTATACCGATAATCTTATTGGCCTCTCTTGTTTTTTAATAATCTGGACGATTAATCGTCATTGTGGGTATGGGTATGGGATGGATCTGAGTCTGCAGCTAGGGAAAGACAAGACTAACACCCCACACTACATCCCCCCCCCTCCATCCACTCACACCCTCACACTCATCCTCTTCTTTTTCTTTCATTGCTAATAGTGCTGTTTTAATTTTCATATCAATTGTATATGATATTCATTCATATTTGTTGGCTTTCGATGGGACAAAAAAATTGTTCATGTTAAAAAAAAAAGGAATCAGGAGCTGGAAGTTTAGTCTACCACTTGACAATGGAGAATATTCTCATGAATCATGCGGTAGCTTTGTATAGCTTGAATGGATGTCCGATGAAGTTCGTTTCATTGACCACAAACTAAGCGAATACATGACACTTCACATCGAACTTAATGAGCAAGAAAGATAAAAACTCACATGGTGATTCTTCAAGAAATACTTCATAGTATCCATCGGCTCGTATCCTTTTCATGTTACACAGTTGAAGCGATCGCATAATTTCAGTGCCAAATTGTTTATCCGCAAATTTCGTGTATAACCTTGAATCAATCTTTGTCAATCCTTGAATACACAAAACTATGCACATTGTTGAAAACATGTGTCATCAGACCTTCATATACGGAACCCTGCTTTAGTTGAAATAATGTGAGGTGAGGATGTAACGGACGATTATCAAGCCGCAATATTCCATTTTCTTCAAATGTTTCTCGACAAATTGCTGTGTACAAAAGGAACAATAGAGTTAGACGTTTCAATAGAAACAAATATAATATTACTAGCAATTTGTTTGAGCACATCGAGATGTGCATCATTGACGGGATTCATGAACAGAACTCTGTCGTTAAAGTTGGACAGGCCAGCAAAGCGAATTTGAGGTGGCACCAGTTGAGCCATGCGAATGCGGTGGCATGCTTTAATCAAACATTGCTGAGCTCTAATAAAGATATAAGCTTTATGATTCATAAGATAGAGTCTTAGTAAAATGTGCTCCAAACCAAGAGGAAAGAGCGGATCCTGGTGAATCCTACAAAATACACCGAAATCCATCAGGATCCATAGAAGTCATCAGAACCTACTAAAACCCACTTTTTCCCTTGCTCAATCTAGTCTGACAACCGCTTCACTCGATTATCAATTGATAGAACTTGAAATTCCACATTCATGAGAACCACTTCAAACTTTTAAAAAAATCTTTGATGACAGAATGACATTCGATTCTTTTATCAAAGGTTTTCTTTAAAAGAGTTTGAAATGATTCTCATGAATGTAGAATTTCAAGTTCTGTCAATTGATAACATCTTCAAGTGAAATGGCGGTCGGACTCGGTTGGAATGTGTTTTATTAATACCCTAAGATACAGATATGAGAACTTGAAAGGGAGTTAGTTCTGAAAAAGTTAGCTCCACATGAATGAATATTCTTGTCATTGCGAAGCAGACATCAGATAATATGCTAGAGTAATAACTAATAAATTCTTTGAGATAATCAGATATTGTGCGTGCTTAGGAAAACAAAGGCTCCGTTACTTGTGAAAAAATTTGCTGTTTCTGGGAATTAGAAGTCACAAGTTTGTACCATAGACTTATACACATAAGATTTATATTTTCCGGGCCAAATAAACTGCAGGCCAAATTTATTTCCTTATTTCCTCGTCTCTTGTCATTCGGAATCATTTTTATTTCGCCTATACATGGTTTCTTCCTCAATCTACATTGGAAGTTTTAGCTATAAATAGTGATAGTTTGTTGAACAAATTGCTAATGTATCTCATCTGGTATAATGCGAGTGAAAATAAAAAGCTTGCCAGCGCAACCCTAAGAGGTTGAAATGTAGAACTCACATACAATTGCTCTCAGAACTACAGAAAAAGTTTTACAGATGCAGGAATCTCTTTAAAAATCAAGATTACCCGAAACCAAATGCTCCTATGAATCGATTCAAAACAAATATTTTCTACATTTTCGATTTTTCTAGGTGCTCTTATTTCTCTTTCAATTGTCATTATGTGAATACCGATCATTTTCTGTATTTCATTCATTTTTCGTTGGTCATTTCCGGTTATTCCTCTCGACTTATAACAGTGTTTTCTCTTGCTTCGTGCTAATGCTTGATCATTGTCATTGAACGACAGTTCCTTCCAGTGATGGAAGAATCCATGGGTATCTAACCACTTTTCCCAAAGAGAAGTGGTTGGATACCCATGGATTCATCCTGACACTGGCCATTCCTTTCCAAGCATATTGAAAAAATGCTGATAATACATCTTATTGCCTATTGCATCAGTTAATGAATGTGCAACTTCATTCATTAGATTTCCTGTTATTTTGGCAAGTTCCAGAATACTCTAACAACGACTTTTCTCCTTTTTATTTTCTCGATATAAGAGATGGAGGACAAAGCCTGAGAGCGAGTGGAAGTGGCTGTGAGTGGGTCAGAGTGAGGACAAGTGACTTCTTTGCACCTTCACTCTTACTTACCCTCAAAACCTTGTTTTCTCAAGGAATGAACAGGATTGAGAATCGGGTAAGAATGGAATAAAGCAATAGAGAAATTTCCTAAAACAGAACATCTTTGCTTCTTTATTTACGAGCAAAGTTTTTTGAATGAAAACTTTTGTTCCTTTATGTGGACAACTTCTCGTATTACTAATTTTGTTACGCCCTGCTCTTATTATTTATTGTTTGGTAATGTGTGGTCCTTCTTATCACTGTTTCAGCGATGGTAGTAAAGTAATGTGACACCCTAATCTAGATTTCATGGGAATTGCATGCTTCATTGTACTCATGTTTTGATTTTTAATAACAAAAGTCAAAGCATACCTCTCTATTGAGGCCTTTCATGAGATCATGATAAGTATATTTTGAAACTATCATGGTGTCGTTTATAGTACCTACCTTTGTTTATCTTCATCGTTTTTCAGTTCGAATACCATGAGTGTTATGTGAAGCTTCGCAATGGAAACACTAGCTTGTGAGAGAAGTGGATTTGATTGAATGATTTCCTTCTGAATTTCAGCGGCATGATGCACAATCTAGACGTGGAATTACAGATAGAAAAGATTCTACTTTCAGTTCACTCACTTGTTGATTCATGATTCGAAAAGCTAAAAAGGCGTTTGGACGTTCTTTTTGTTGCTTGTCCTTCTTAGCTGAAAGTTTCATTTTTTTACCAACAGATTACTGTAACTGGTGACCAAAAATGTACTTACTTTCCGTAGCTACCTGTAATGCTTTTTTGCCAGGGCCCGTGACCAAATCTTGATCTTTAGTCGTCGAGATTTTTTTTTTTTCAAAAGATGCCATAGTAAATATCTGAAACAGAAACTATTGAAAGCCACATCAAAGGGTGTGGATGTGAGTGTGAGTGAAGAAAAGATACACACTTACACCCACACCCACACCCACACCCTGATTTAATCGATGAAATTCAGCCACTTCGATTAAGAGCGCACCGCGTAGAGTTACGGTATTTTCCATCGACGACGAATAACCAGACGAAATGAATAGAGCAGCAACGTCAATCTTATCATACGATGATGTGTCTTTCTACTTACCGGCAACTCAGTCACCAAGCGTCAGAACATCCGATTCACCTTGCCATAAGAGAAGTCAGTTGGCACAATCGAGCTCGTTTCCACCTTGTGTTCAATATTGACCATTGATTCACAGTGCAGCATGATCAAGTGTAACAACAGCAGAGCCGACCGAATCCAAGAATCCCATTATCTATGCTCGCCGAGTGTCGTACTGTTGCACATATTCACTATGATGTTCATCGTTGGAGAATATAACATATACATACAAACTAAGACTTCTCATTCGAGCCCGTTGTTGCGATAATTTTTACGCTGTACTGGCTTGAGATTGTGTTACAGCACAACTATAGTTCGTTTGTTGACATGCCACAAATCGAAGGTTGTCAGCGAGAAGAGCAAGATAGATCACGAAAATGCCTATTATCGTCTACTGTCTGCCTTTCAACCTGCAGCGATTGAGTGTAGTGATGTGATGTGATATGTGATGTTGGTATTCTTTTTACTTCTATTATGACTGTGTTTTTATTATTTCTCGTTGTTCTTTGATGGCCTCGTGTAGACGCCGACAAAACAAGATTGAAAGAAAGAAACGCGAGACAAGTACATGAAAACAAGTGTAACAATACTTTCGCCCTTTGTAAAGATAAAGATAATGATCGCTAAATAAAAACGGGTGGAATTGAAGTAGCTTTATCAGTCCTGACAACATAGAATTTTATTTCAAAAACAGTGTGAATAAGTAACTCATACAACGTCATTCGTAGACATCTCAAATGTATTGATCTGAAAGGTTGATATTTAAATAATGGAGAATTTTCTCCTATCGAAATAGTAGTCGACTGTCATGGCTTTATGTCTTATTCTACATCGAGGCACAAGGATGCTATCAATGGTTATATGCAGGATGTCAATGTTTGAACTCATTTTACTCACACCCTCAATATCCTGATTGTGACTTTCATTGTAGTTTCCAATTCAATATTGTAAAGGTACTGAACGTCTCACAGTCGTCGGGTGTGGGTATGCATCGTCTCCTCACGCATACCCACATCCTTAAATTAGATATGAAATATGTAGCTGAAGTGTAGTCTTTTTATCGAACATTATTCTTAAATAGCAAACAAAGTTTAGACCGCAAACCAATAAAAAGAAGTGAATGATAAGAATATTTCTTACAAGGAAACATTTCTAGGCGTTGGAGAGCTTTTCAGTCGGAGCTTAGTACATCTTGTAGACCTTGGTGAACTATGTCTACTCTGAAAAGAATTCATGTCCATGGCTTGTTTCTAAGAAGACCGAACGTTTTTAGTGAGTTTCGGCTATAGGACTCGATATTTGCACCAGTGCCGTAGCCAAGGGAGGGGCAAATGGGCAATTGCCCATTTCATTTGGAGATTTACCCATTGAAATTTTTATTAGTAAGTTTTTGCCCGTTGAAATTTTACTTTTTCAGAATTGTTTATTTATTTTTGAACTAGATAGTAACCCTACTTTTTTTCTTCCATCTCAATCCTACATGTACTTTTTGCTTGTTCCCTCTGTGCAGAATGAAGAAAAGAATCGCGTCTGGTATTTTCACCAGGGTTACCCATGTAAAAATTTTTGCTAATCTAACGAAACTTTGTGACATCAAAATTCGTTAAAAATTTAACGATTTAACGATTAAAAATGTTACAATTTTGATCATGAAAACGCGTTAAAAGTGCGCAAAATTAACGCGTTCTCAAATTCTAACGATCTTTTTTTCGTTAGATCAATAAGTTTTTAATAATTCTTGACACGTGAATTTATTGAGAAACGCGTTAAATACGAAAGCTGATTAATATATTATCCCTCAGAATTTTTCATACATTCTTATTTACTGCAAGTATGATGAACTTCTTTCAATGATCAATATCTTGCTTAGCTTCACTCGTCCGAAGAAAAAAGTCTAGCTACTCAATTCAATATTTGATATACTTTCTAATAAGATGCTTCAGAAAGCATTGTTGTCACTATAAATATTTTGTAATAGCTAGCAAAACCACCGAGGAAATACAATATATTGTTTTATTTTGTCGATATCTCGAAACTAAAACTATTTATGGCTTTACTTGCTACAACTTTGCATTCTTGTATGTACCAGGAATGTATTTAATAGTCGGCAGAAATGATAAGACTATTACTAGTTTAAAACCTAAGATATCGACAAAGTAAAAAACAAATATTGTACTGTTTGATTTGTTTCGCTATCAATTATAAAATATTTTTAGTGGTAATAATGTTATCTTAAGCATCTTATTAGAAAGTACATCTAATATTGAATTGATTAGCTGGATTTTCCTCCTCAGACGAGTAAAACTTAGCAAGATATTGATCATTGAAGAAATTTCATCATATTGGCGGTGAATAAGAATGTATGGAAAATTCTGAGGAGTAATATATTCATTAGCTTGAACTATGGAAAGATAGATTACATGAACTAATATAATTTGATTATCGCCTTCCTCTTAACTTAGTATACCAGCTTACATATTTAACAGAGATAAACCAGTCATATTTTTCATATTAGATCCAGATTCTATAAGCGAAAAACTTAACTCAGCTCAACTCAATAGCGTAAAAGAGGAATTTATATCAATACACACTCATATAGGTGGCATGTAGCTCGAGTGAGAAAGTTAAAATATCACACGTGTGAAAATGAATGCAGCATTTAACGATATATAATGAGTTAGTTACCATTACAATGACCATCACGTGTGAAAACACGTGAAAAATCTAACGCGTTAAAGCGAATTTTCCAAATCTAACAAAAATTCATGAAAATTTTCTTCGTGAGACTTCATTAATTTACCTTTTAAGGCGGCTTATGACCTTAACTGAAGCAATTATTTCGCTAAACTTTTTTTTTATCATACGGAGAAGAAATGATGATGTACGAAGTACAGAATTAGATTCCTTCAGATATAAAACCCATAGTATAATTTTAAAGAGAAAATGAAAGAGGATTATCTTTGTCTAGGATTAATTCAAGTGGTTTTGCTAGCGATTAATACAAAGTTGAGATTTCTCTAAAGGAGAGCTCTGCTTAATCTGATAAAAAGCTTTTGATATCTGGATTGATATAGTTCACAGAGACACTTGATATTTCGTAAATATAAGTCTTTCAAGATGATTTTTGTGTAATTTGCATAAACAAATATGTTACTCAAAAAATCATGAATATTGTACGCATGAAAACGATTAGTAGATTGAGTGATGTATAATTAAATGACGTTCGTTAACAATTAAAATTTTCATTAAAACTCGTTAAAATATTTCACTCACAAAAACAGTTACTAGATTTAACAAGAATCAATCAGTTAAGTTTCGTGAAAAATACAGAAATTCATGAAACCGTGTTAATATGTTTAACGCATGAAAATGAATACCAAGTTTGACGATATTTAACATGATAAGATTGGTTAAAAACAAAAAAACCTCAAGAAATATCGTTAAACTTCTTAATGCGTGAAAATGAATGCAACGTTTAACGATATATAATGAATTAGTTACAGTTAAAACGATAATCACGAGTGAAAAATCTAATGCGTTTACACGAGTTTTCGGAATATAACGAAAGTTCATGAAATTTTCTTCGTGAAATTTCGTTTATTTGTCTTTTAACACATTTTTTGCGCTAATATTAAGAATCATTTTGTTAAATACCTTTTTATTTTTACATGGGTATAGTATTGGTGCAAATGTCGGGTCCTATAGCCAAAACTCACTAAAAACATTCGATCTCGTCAGCAACAACCTATGGGCACGAACTCTGCTCAGAATAGATATAGTTTACCAAGGTCTACAAGATGTACTAAGTCCTGACTGAAAAGAGCTCCAATAACTAGGAATGTTTTCTCGTTAACATTCAAGAGTTATTCAATAAACAGTTGAGGACATTTTTTAAAAAGACAGATATTAGTGTTAGTATAACGTTTAGATTTATAAATGCAATGCTTAAAATGCCAAAGAAGTCTTGAATATGTTTATAAAATCCTAAACAACAGATAGTCACAACAACAATGAAATAATTTGGTCATTAAATGTCAAACGTTTATTTGATGATGGGTGACATTAATTTGTAAAGTTATATTTATCTGGAATGAGTTGCGTTGTTTAATTGATGACATTTGATCTAGATATAGAGAAAGTCTCTCGATCGATGATGATCAAAGATAGTCGGATATGGTCGCTGTTCTCCTGCTCCCCATTGACAAGGATCAGGATAGAGTGTTAGGTTCCATTTTTTCGCGAGTAGGCTCAAAATGGATTGATCATGTCGATGGTCACGAAATTCTGGGTAGTTTGGTGAGCCAAGAACATTTGCATCGTCCGTTATTGCTCGACTGTCCTGTGCATAAGTCAACCATTCAGATACAAAACTCATGCTCATAAAACTCTTCTTTACTACAATGTATGAAGCTAGGCCAGAACGCGAATTTAAGTATTCTGGTTTGTCAACATTCAGAAGAATCAATGTATCGCGTTTTGTCCAAGGCAATTCCTAAAAAGAACCAATTAAATATATAGTAGATAGTATTATAACTGAAAATAAATTACTCTATCATATATCAGAGACGTCTTTTGATAAAACTTGATGACTTTTCATATATAGATAAAGTAAAACAAGGTGACTTTCAGATTTCCCATGCATTCATTTTTGACGATTATTCATCTTCTATCATTGTCAAATCGAAGATACTATACTTCAAGGCATGCTTTATCTAACTGTATAAGAGACTT